CCGCAGCGCCTCCCGCTGCTCCCGCCGGAGGAGCCGGGGCAGCTGCACCTGGGGCTGACAGGAACCCTCTGCAGGGCGTGCCGGGCGCCCCGCCGGCCTCTGCGCTGCTGGGCGCCTCACACGGCACGGGTGTGACCAGCAGCCTGCTCGCCAGGCCTCGCCGCGTCCTCCCTCCTGCCCCTCGGGCCCGTCCGGCCCCGCCACAGCCATCGGGCAGGTGTCCCCACAGGGCTGCTCACCGGCAAAGGAGGACACGGTCCTGCCTCTCACAGCCCGACGCAGCCACCGCTCTCGGTCCCATCGCCCTGTGCTCTGAGCCCCTCGCCACAAGGACACTGAGGGGCTGGAGTGTCCAGGGAAGAGCAGCCGAGCTGGGGAAGGGCCTGAAGAACAAGGCCTACAAGGAGAGACTGACTCAGTTTGGAGGAGGCTGAGGTGGGACCTCGTTGCCCTCAACAGCTGCCTGCAATGAGGCTGTGGGGTTGTGGCCTCTTCTCCCAAGCAAACAACCGTACGACCAGAGGAAATGGCCTGAAGGTGCAGCAGGGGAGGTTTAGATTAGATATTAGGAAGAAATTATTTGCCAGAAGAGTGGTCAGGCACTGGAATGGGGCTGCCCAGGGAGGCTGTGGAGTCACCATACCTAAAGGTATTAAAGAAATGTGTAGATGTGGCACTTCAGGACATGCTCATGTGGTCTTGGGGTTCTTTGTGAGTTGGCAATTGGACTTGGCAATTTAGAGGTCTTTTCCAACCATGGCAATTCTGTGTGCCCAGGTTCTTACCCATCTCGTGTTCAGCTGATCCCAAGAACAAGCTCCTACCTTGGATAGAGGAATATCATGGGAAATGGCAGTGAAGTTATCCAGGCTTCTAGCATCAGTTGCACAACTTTTAAAATACAACAAGGTTGTACTCCACCTACCTATTCCACATACAAAATACTTAAATGCAATATTTCAGTGTAAACACCTGTATTTTTGGTACAATTCATGTGTCAAGTCTATTGAAGTTTTCTGGATGACCAGTTTTTCAGTGACTCACAGTGGATTTCATTTTTGTTATTTCCCCCTGTGTATGCAGTGTTTCCGAAACTACTTCTGTTCCATCTCATTGATCACTTTAATTAATAAATCCAAGAAAATATTTCCCTTATTATTTTCAAAAAGTTCCCTTACTCCCCAGGTGTGATAGTTTCTTTACTTTATCCACCCTGTTGAATGCAGATTTTAAAAGAAAGTGTACTAGTTCATCTAATTCTAGTCATTAATCTCATGTCCTTAATTAACAGCCATATTATATGCTGGATTGTGCTTCTTTCTCTGCATTAAAAAAAAAACAAACAACAAAAACTCTATTTTTTTCAACCCATTACTTAAGAGTTAATTAACATTAATGCTTTTTTAAAAATTTCCTCTGAAGCCTTAAGTCACACTTCAGTGTTTCTCTGCCTCTTCCTTCAACTTAAGAGAAATGAAGGAATTTTACTGTTTCAGAGTAGCCCTTCCTTGTGTTACCAGAGTGAGTGAAAGAATGGCAAGAATGAGAAGACATAGTTAGAGAAGCAGATACAGAAATGTAGGGGAAATAACCTAGCACAGAACACCTGTGCCAGAATACACTGGAAATTTCTAGTAAGTTTTAAATTTTATTTTGCATTTAATGGCTTAAATGGCCTTAAACTAATCTCTTAATATTATTCATTGTGTAAGATGATATTAAAGTCTTAACACCTTAAATCAATAATAACAATAAACCAGCTAGCAGCCTGTTAACACCTTATTACAAGCTCCCTGTTCACACAGCACAAGAAGAGTGAAAATAGCAGAAAGAGCCTAATGGAAACCAGAGCCCTCCTTGCCCCTGTGGAACTGCCAGACGTGCTAGGACAGAGTGCAGCACAAAAATAGGTACAAAAATGGCAGGAAACATCAAACAGTACAAGAACAAAACACACCTAGATTTAAACATCACTACTTGATTTACCATTCTAAGAAATACAGAAGAGAGAAAACTAGTAGTTGTGGATTCAGATGCAGAAGTAGAAAGATCAAATCTTATGTTCCTTATATTTATGCTTTCAACTGCTGCCCTAAAATCCTTTCTGCGATTTCCACAGTGGAATTCTGTGACTGCAGCACTCATTTCTACTTTTTAACCTGCAACAACAGAAATTTAGGTCCAGAATTCCCACAATGCTGCATCCTCCTGACCTAAATGTCTGCAGTTGAGGAACAAAGCATCACTATGTTGGTCAGATGACATAAGACAAATTCTCCTCGCACATCCTTTTCTTACTGAGTGCATATTTATGGAAATATAATTTCATTGTGAAAACCTTTTGTTACTATCTAGTATAATCCTCAGACTGAACTAGAATAGAGCTTTTTCACTGTCAATGTCTGACTGTTTCTCAAGTGCTGAGGTATTTATCCCACCACAAAATGCTGTTGTTTGGTGCTGTGAGTTCCTGTTGGCTTCATTCATAAGATACAATCAGTGCAATCCTATTTCATGATGACAGCCATTACCCACTGGACCAGAAATTCTTCTTAGTACTATTTATTTGACAAAAATGTTTATTCAGGGTCTTTAACTGCAAGGTTTGTCAGCACCACAGAACACATTTTTTTCTCTCTCTCTCTCTGCTTTACAGTTTTAGTATCAGCAAATGTAGACATAAAATATGTAAATATTAATAATTTTTATGAGAATTTCATGGACCTTGAGAAAATGTCTTGCCATGTTTTTCTCTTTAGCTATTTAATTGCAATGTCATAGTAACAGAAAGCAGCATACCCAATTCTGCATGGATGAATAAGCACATTCAATAAAGAAGATTTAACAGAGTAAATCAAACACTGGATTAAACATTTTCTGCATAACAGACCACAAAATGGGCATTCATTTTACCAATAGATCCTCTACATTAGAAATGAACAGAAATGCACACCAACATAATTAAACTGCACATCCTGTGGCCTGATTGCAGAATTTCCCTATATTTTGTTAAACTAGGTCTCATCAATTAGACCTGACAAAAGACATTAAAAATGCATGCTGACAAGGCTGAAAGTAATTTTTTAATCACTGGTATTAAATACATTTGGAATTCTATATTTTATGAAATCACAATCCTGTATATTGCAGAAGATTCATACAGCATTTTTAGCAATAACAATTCAGAATGATAGGCAAAGATCAATGTAAAGATTCCACTTTTAGCAGTGCTAAATATTCTTTTCTATAAGCAACTTCCCTACTTTTATTTAAATCAAAATATCTCTTGTATAAAAAGATGGGGTTTGGCTTGATAACTCTATTTTGGATTTTCACATATCCACAGAACTACCTTTGTTATTTTCAAGTCTCTACAGTTAATCTCTAACTTTATTAAAATGGATTTTGGAAATACAGTAATCCTAGCAAAAGCCCATAAATGACGAGTTTTTATTTTCCCAGGTAGAAACACTGAAGCCTAAGAGAAAATCAGGAAGAATCAGCATTAGAATGATAGAGTTTCTAGTTATGTCACTATCTAGTCTCAGATAATTTGATCACAAATTTCATCCTTTAAAACCAAACAGCAAATACTTCATATTCACTACGACGATGGGTTTTAAAAAGTTATTTAGTCTCTTTATCCTGCAGTGACTTCACGTGTGAAATCTCATGATTCATTCTCATTCCCTCAGTGGATACAGAATTCAATTCTACTCGAGTACCAGTGTGAATAAGGATCAGCAGCAGGATCAGGCCTATTAGCTGCTTGAAACATCTACTGAGTAACCTGATTTATCCTAACCAAATGGCTCATTAGTTCAGGCAGCAAGAAAATGTTTGTGTGTTGCTGAAGTTGTGCAAGGCTGTCATATAGAGTTTGCTGTTACTCAGCTGTCAGTCACTCAAGCATGCACAGACTGGACTGTTCATTAATTACAGAAACAGCCACATTCAAGCATGTTTGGGAAAAAAACGTATGTTCCCAAATTTCTTATAAACTCTGATACTCTTCTTTGTTACCACGATGTGAATGCTTTTCTCTTCCTGTCCCAAGTTGCAGTGCTCAGCCCCAGTCATGCCCATACAATTCATTACTTGTGCTTTATTACCAGAATTAGACTAAGCTGCAAATTTTCAATTGTATGTGCACACTTAATTCCCATGAATAGTATGAATATTCCTTTGATACAGTAAGCTTGACTTTGGTAGATCAGTGAACTAAACATATTTTAAACACCCTGAATAATTAAATCCATATTTATGGATTTAGCACTGGAACTAATTTGGAAGTTGCCCTTTGACTACTAAGATGTGAGTAAATTATAGGATTGTTTAGAGAGATGAGGAGAGATAATTACATTTCACTCGACTTCTGTAAGCACACAAGGCATGAAGTCTATTTTTCCAATCTTTAATTAATGACATCCTGCAAAAAATTCTGTAGTTCTCTCACTGCAGTCAGAACTTTTCTTGTACAAAATAAGCACAGAAGAGAAAAAAACAGGATCACAGCTTTTATCAGGCTGCTCTGCCCAGTATGACTGGCAGAATATGGAAAAAGTCTCCACTGCAGCTTCATGAGAAATTGCCTATGAGTTTTATAGGCCTCCTAGAACTCCAGAAGTGCAGGATGAAGGAGATGGTCTTTGCAGGAGCCCAAAATTTTAATTATTTGGAATGCTACAGGCTAATCTGTAATGCTTAAAATAGCTGATGACTCCAGGATGATGACTAATCTGCTGCAGGTTTTATTGCTTGTCTCTTAGAGACATGTGGAGGAAAACTCTAGGAATTGGAGACCCAGAGAACTACAAGAGGTAGAATCAGACTGTATCTTGACTGACATTGCCCCAAACCCAAGTTACTGGTGCATTATATGCAAGAGATGGTGTCAGCTCAGGTTTTTATTTGCTTAGATTACTTGTCTCAGTTGCCTGTATCACTGGCTAAAATCATTCAGTAGAGCACAGGAATTATTATTACTATGTATTTTTATACAGGGGGGGTAGGCTTGAGGCTTTTAAGCATGTTTATAAAACAGCCTTTTACCTTCCTAGTTTTCATTCATCATATATTTTTTTCTTGATTAAAAAAGTGTACTTTTTAGGACTACTGAGATAAAGACAGAATGGTGTGAACTATTTTTGAAATAGAAATAATGGCAATATACTTAAGCAAAGGACTACAACTTCTTTGCCCACATTCAT